CTGCACATCTCCCACTGGGGACGTGCCCGCAGCCCAGGCACATGCCCCCGACCGGAATCGAACCTGGGACCCTTCAGTCCGCAGGCTGACGCTCTATCCACTGAGCCAAACCGGTTTCGGCTTCATATTGTTTTTTAAAACAATTTCTTAGTGATTTCTTCCTCAGTCCTTCAACTGTCTTTTCCTTCTTTTATTTTCCTCTTTCATGGATGCCATGTTCTTTGGAAGCTTGTTCAGACCAAGTGAACAGTGACACACCTGGGCCCTGGCCAACATCAGGGCAGCCTCAGCTTGCTGGCCAGGGCTGTTGAGGATGATCACTGCCCCCAGACCCCCTCCTGCCGGCCAAGCTGGAGTCTGCAGTTGCTGGTACGCCTGCCACACCTGGGTTAATCCCTGGGGCAGAGAGCCGCCTGGCTTCCTCAGGCAGAAACCGCTGGTGGGTGACAGAATTTGTTCAGCTGGCTGCATCCAGGCCCCGGGGGATGTGGCTGAGGTCCTCACTGCAGATCTGTGGCTGCAGGTCCTGTCCGCGCTGGCTGCTGGCTGCATTAACCGCCAGGTGAGGCAGCGGAATGACATCGATGAATCAAAGGAGTGAATTCTACTTCCTGTGCGAGTCTTTGCAGAGACAATTCTCTCTACTCTGCGGGCTTTACTCCCCTCAGTTCTGCATCCTTCCCTCTTCCCGACTCAAGTCCTTACAAGCCTTGGGCACTGTCCTCCAAGGCAGCCCTTGGGGCTGGGAGGGTCATGACCACTAACACCACTCAGCGTATAAACCCACAATTATGTTTTTTTAAATGTATTTTTATTGATTTAAGAGAGAATAAGGGAGAGAAACATCGATGAGAGTCATTGATCAGCTGCCTCCTGCACGCCCCACACTGGGGATTGAGCCTGCCACCCAGGCCTGTGCCCTGGCCAGGAACAGAACTGTGACCTCCTGTTTACAGGTCGACACTCAAGCACTGAGGCGAGGCCTGCCTGCCGGGCTGTACAATTATGTTCATTAAGGGAAACTACAAGCAGAGAAGCTGCACACCCGGAGGTGGGCTCAGGCCTGGCACGGGCACAGTGGGAAGGTTCCAGAAGCTCCACACCTGTTGCACCCTTCATTTTAGAGGCCAAATGGAAACATTTGGACAATTAGGAAACCCTGAAAGCCTCCTGGTCGGGAAGTGGCCTTGTGAAACGGAGACCCTGATGCCCAGCAGCTGACATCAGTCTGTGCGTGTTGACTAACTCAGCCAAGCTGGGCAGGCCCTCTGCTAAGCGAGGAGGACCAAGCCTCGAGGGATGTTTACTGCCCCGGCCCTGCTTTGTGTGGGGCATTATCTGGGAATTCCTCATAAAGCAAAGTGCTTGTGCCATAAGCAAACCCTCTCTTCATCCGACATACGCTCTGTGTCTCACGTTACAGTTGCTGTTCCAGACCCTGGGCTGCTCCGGGCGCCGAGGCAGCCAAGGTTTCTGCTTCACATTCGGCCTCAGCCTGGACGTGGGCCCTGGGTCTTCCTGGCCCCGCCCTGTCTTATCCCACCTTTGCCCGTTTCTCTCAAAGCTGGCCTCCAACTCAGGAGCTGCTTTATCTTGGAGACCCTTCCATAGATTGGAGACTGTTTCTTCTTTAAAAACAGAACTATTGCCCTGGCCGGGTAGCTCCGTTGATGAGAGCGTTGTCCTGATATGCCAGGGTTGTTGGTTTGAACCTGGTTAGGACACATACAAAAATCAACGAATTAAAGCATAAATGAGCGGAACAACAAATAAGTCTCTCCCTCCCTCCCTCTTTCAAATCAATCAACAAATGAAAAGAAAGCTGTTTTCTCTTTGTTCAAATTGAGAAATTTTTTAACTGTGCAGCTTACTGGTGCTGCTCTCTGCATGCCCCACTTTGAGCTCACCCAGCTTTTGTGGTGGGTTTACTTTGGTTAGTGTATCTTTCCTTTCTAAAATTTCCATTGGGCTTTCCTTTATAACTTCCATTTCTTTGCTGAGATTTGTGGAGAGCGGCTACAGTGTTTGGACAGGTTCAGGCCTCGGACTATTGAGAGGGCACTGTCCTCTGGTGGCAAAGCCACGTGCAAGTCCCAGCTTGGAGGGCAAAGCCCTCCCAGCACAATTACAGCCAAAGGCGATCGTTGTAAGCTTGACCTTATGGTCCGAACCGGTGGTCCCGGTGGCTGAGTGAGGTAGGCTGCAGAGCGCGGCGCAGGGATTCTTTTTTATTTTTCAAGTTTGCTTAAGGAGAGCAGGCAATCGCTTGGAGCGCTGGTGCAACGCTTGACCACCTTGTCAGATCATTCACGTCTGTCTGCCGTTATCCTTCTGACTTGTGCTGGGGTGTTCTTGGCGCTCGGCCGAGTGATTTTGGACTGTACCCCGGGCATTTTGAGTACAAGGTTAGGAGACGCTCTCTCTTCACATTCCTGTTTTAGTCGGTGGTCCATCCACTCACGTTATGAACTCATGGCCTGGCCCGTGTGTGTGGGCCGTGTTCTAAGTGTCAGTTCCTTTGCACAGGCCTGCTCTGGGGGCTCCCTGGAGGCCAAGGTCACCCCTGGGCCTATTCCACCCATCGCAGTGTTTGCTGTGTGATACTGGTCAGTTTTATAAATGGATGTGTCAGGAACTTGGGACAGATGAACGTATCCCCATTCTGCTCCGGACCGAATGTGTGCTCCCCTCCTCCCACCCAAATCCTCGTGATGAAGCCCTAACCCTCATGTGATGGTACTTGGAGCTGCAGCCTTTGGGAGGGGGTTGGGTTTAGCTGAGGTCATGGGGGGTGGGGGGGCTCGTGCTGGGATTCAGGCCTTTGTAAGAAGAGTCAGACACCCCCCCACCCCCGCCCCTGCCCTGTGAGGACCCCTGAGCAGCCCGTCTACAAGACAAGAAACTGAGCACCTGGCATTTGACCCTGGACTCCTAGCCTCCAGGACTGAGAGGGAGCTGCACTCACACTTCTCTCCCCTTCCTCCCCTCTGAGTGAAGCCTCTTGCTCTCAGGAGGCCTCTGGGAGTCCCGGCTGGCCTTCCCACCTGTCCCCAGAACCACGGCCATTGTGGCGTGCCCCTCGCCCACAGCCTCAGTGTCCCTGTGACCTTGAGAAGAGCCGTGCATGCTGATTTCTGCAGATTCAGCTTCTGCTGCCCTTCTCACTGCAGCTTTACCCAATGTCTTCCCTCCAAGCCCCCAGGCCCCAGGAGACTGACTGTCACCTCCCCTGGACCATGATTACCTGGGCTTAACCAGCCTGATCCTAGGACGCCCCCCCTCCCCCTGCCAGGCCAGGGCACCCATACCTGCTAGCTCCAGCCCCTCACAATGGCTTCGACTTTTCTGCCCGCGCTTCTGTGTTCTGGTTACATGACCCAGGGCCTGGCTTCCAGGAACCAGCAAACGCAACAGGAATCTTCCCTGCACTTCCTGCCTAACTCTCCCGCGTTCGCTTCCAGCAGCAGCGCCTTGCAATCCACCAGGCTGCCTTCAGCTTGGCTTCTGGTGCCTTCCGGCCTGTGAGCCCTTCCCTCTTCTCCCTCCGTTAAGTCCTCTCGGCCTTCTCCAGCAACAAAAATTCCTCTTCCATCAGAACGGCCTCCCATGAACCCAGCTGGAATTCATGGCTCATTAATTAAATTGAATCCCAGATGTGAGAGAGCATAGCAGGTGGGAGAGCTCCAGGCCCTGTGCCCTGTTCTGCGACGTGTGGGACCTGGGCAAATGCTCCCCCAAGGCTTCTGGCCTCTGGTTGGTGCCAGGGCCCCATAGAGACCCCTGGCTCCCTGGGGATGTGAATGGCAGCGCTTCATGGCACGTGGGGACGTTTGAGGGCTGGAACGCCACACTTGCTGCTGTCAGAATCGCCCCACCCCACCCTGTGTCTCGGGCACGTAGCCTGTGTATGGGAGGTGTGGCCTACGACTGTCCTGTACTTCACCACATGTGTCTCTGCTTCGGTTGGAAACTTGCCCAGGCCCAGTGCCCATTTGTACTTTAAGAATCTGTAACCCTGCCCAGCTGGCGTGGCTCAGTGGTTGAGCATCAACCTATGAACCGGGAGGTCCCGGTTGGATTCCCAGTCAGGGCACATGCCAGGGTTGTGGGCTCCATCCCCGGTGTAGCGGGTGCAGGAGGCAGCCGATCAGTGACTCTCTCTCATCATTGATGCTTTTATCTCTCCCTCCCCTCTCCCTGCCTCTTTGAATTCAATAAAAATGTATTTTAAAAAAGAACCAGCAACCCTGTAATGGGGGCCTGAGGGATGTCTGGGGAGAGGTGGTGACATTTCAAAGTTCAGAATCTGTGTGGCGAACACTTTGTTGGGGCGGCCAGATATACCTCAGTGGAGCTGACAGGGAGCCAACCAGTGCAAGCATGTGGAGCTTTTAAATAAGCGACAAGACGAAGAGCACCCACACTGGTGATGGCCAGGCAGCCGGCTTTTATTAAAATTGCTCCGATCTTATTGACTGGGTCTAGGTGATCATGCTTTTTCCTCCCTGATAATCATGTTTTTGAATAAACCAAAATTAATTTCATATGAAGAAAAATAGCATTAGATAATTTTATTTGCGAACCTTATTTTCACGACTATTTACAATATTTAATTCCTGCAGATGCATTTTTCTTCTCAGAAGAAGACAAGAGAAAGGGTTACATGAAACTGCGTCCTAAGAGGACAATGGGGAGCAGAACTACTGTGCAATGTTTCACGTTTGGCCGTGAAGATCATCCCTCTAGCGTGCTTAGAACTGAAAATGTTTGGATTTCAAAACTAGACGATAATTACATGGCAGTGAAGATGCCGCATGAGCTTTGGTATCTAATAATCTCATCGGTAGAACCTGCAGAGAGGCCTGATGTGGCTGATGGCTCCATTGAGCGCTGGGAAGGGTCTGCAGTAGACCCCTCAGGTTCGGGGTGACAGTGGGTGCGACCTGGTGGGCACAGCGAAGGGACTCAGCCACGGGCACGGCTCTCCCAGCAGAGCGGCCTCAGTGCTCCGTGTCCTCTTGCGTCAAGGAAGCCAGAAGCTCTTGGCCAACGTTTGCCTGCTTTTCCGTCTCATCTGGATGGTTCCTCAGCCTCAGCTTGGTCTCCAGTCTCTGCTTCCATTCTTCTCTGAGCCTGAACATAGAACATAGAACACACAGAACACACAGGGGACACTCATCTCCTGGGCTGTTGGTTCGGGTAAAGCTTTCTTCCTTTTCCCCCTGACCGTGTGTGTGTGTGTGTGTGTGTGTGTGTGTGTGTGTGTGTTTCAGGTTGTAAAAGGCATGCAGAGGACTTGCAAATTTAAATATGTACATGTTTTAACTCTCACTTCTGTTCAACGTACCCTAATCTCAATCCTCTGAACTTTCCTTTGAAAGTGCAATATCTTTAAAGTATTGGGGGCGGGGGAGCGGGGACCCTGTCAATCTAGAATTGTTTACCCAGCAAGGCTGGCATTCACATACAGAGGCTTTAAGATGTGCAGAAACAGAGAGGGTTCTTCCTGGCGGACTGCCACGGCACATGCCAACGGCCATTCCTTCAAGCAGAAGGAAGTCGGGGTCACGATGGAATAAAAGCACCTGAAAAGGCAGCTGTGTGGATGCATATTCATAACTTTTTCTTACTATTTGAACCTCTTTAAAAGATAATCAGTGGTTGAAAGCAACGCTGTTCATTATGTAACATGGGGTTTATAACACATGGAAGTAAAAATGTACTTTTGTACAATAGCGCGACAGCCAGGAGGGGGAAATGGCACCATCTTGCTATAAGGCTTTTACACGCTAAAGGAGATGATGCACCCTTGAAGGTGTGTGGTAAGTTCAGGGTGGATATGTAAATCCTAAAGCAACTACCAAAATAACACAATTACAATCCAATTACCTGGGATAAAAAAGCAGTATCCAAATACATGCTCCCCAAATTTCGTGTAACCCTCATGCACTAGAACCAGTGACAGAGAGACGAGATAAAACAGAGTATACATTTGGGGGGATTTTTTGGTTTGTTTTTTAAATATATTTTTATTGATTTTTTACAGAGAGGAAGGGAGAGGGATAGAGAGTTAGAAACATCGATGAGAGAGAAACATCGATCAGCTGCCTCCTGCACATCTCCCACTGGGGATGTGCCCGCAACCAAGGTACATGCCCCTGACCCGAATCGAACCTGGGACCCTTCAGTCTGTAGGCCGACGCTCTGTTCACTGAGCCACACCAGTTAGGGCTACATTTGTTAATGTATAAGAATTGTAAAACCATAGGTGGTGGCAGCAACGTATGCATGGAAAATTAAAATAATTTCACCCTCTGAGATGCCCTTCTGGCATTCTTCTGGGAAAGTCAATTTTGCATAAAGAAATAGACACACAAGGATGCTAATGCTGTGTCAATGTGTGTTGTTGTTGTAGGCTTCTGACAGTGGGGAGGTTGTGCCTGGCGGGAGGGGTACGTGGGAACTCTACTTTCTGCTCATTTTGCTGTGAATTTGCTCTAAAAAATAGTCTATTTTTAAAAAATACATACTTTCTCAGTGCACTTCTCCCCAGGCGCCGCTCCTCCGATTCTCGGTAGAAGGTCTGTTTGCCGATTTCCCTTTCCCAGAAGTGTTTGAGCTCGTGACAGGTGTTCCGGCAGAAGACCTCCCGGCGGACGTACTGATTGTTCATCCCCTGGAACAGAAAAGATCAGCCGAACCCTCGTAGAACATGCTCCCTGGGCCTCTCGAGGTGCTGACAGCGTTTACCTGAGGGAGACCCCGGCCCGCACAGACCCTCAGTGTCAGGAACAACAGCAGTCACAGGTGTGAAAGCAGAAGCTCCCTGCGGGCCTGGCAGGTCCAGGCACCTGGCTCATACCTCTGCCCTTCCTCCTCCTCACAGAAGCATGGCTGCTCAGCTCTTCATGGACAGCAGTGTGCAGGCCTGTGTGCATCTGCTCCTCACAGCACCCCTGAGTGGACACACTGTCCCATTTCTAGGGGCGTCTGAAGGTCACAGCGCTTGCGTGGGTCCGGCAGCATCGCTGGCGGGAGGCAGACTGCAGTCTTGGGAATGTGCTCTAGCCCTTTACTCAGGGTTTGCCCAGAAAACATTCCCAGCGCCAGACGCAGCCGAGCAAGCACTTTGGGGTGCGTGCATGTGCGTGTGTGGAATGGCTCCTGTCAGACACTCAGAGTGCTCAGTTCTCCATGAAGAAACTGCCCAATGCCCAGACCTGGGGGGTGAGGGAAAGGGTTAGAGGCTACTGTCCAGGGAGAGGCAGTGCCCAGCTGGGAGCGGCGAGGATAAGGCACAGTGGACGGGTTCACAATATTCTGGGGGTGTCAACTCAGGTGGTGAGTGAAGGTGACGGCATCAGGGGAGCCTCCAGCGGCTGTACCTGTGTACAGAAGGGAAACAGCAGAGCAGGCCCATGGGGAGCAGGTCTATGGGGGACACACACTCGTCACAGGCACCGGGATTTCCTACGACAGGAGCTGGGGTGGGGGCGGGGGCATAAGGAGAGTCACCCGACATGGTCTGAGGGGAAGGGACATGCCGATGAGTGGGTGGGAGCACCGGGTGCGGGAGCAGACTGTGCCAAGGCCTGCGGGATGGTCTATGGAAGCAGAGACCCTGAAGCAGATGGGGGCGCCCTGGGGTGGGGGAGGGGACTCCAGGTTATGACTTGTTTCTGGGGATGGTTACACGGCTGCATGCAATTGCCAAAACTTATCCACGGGCAGACTTTGTGACACATGAGCTACGCCTCAGGAACAGAAATGCTTCTGTGTTTGGACCAGAGCCATCGAAGCTCCCGGCTCTAAGCTCCTGGGAGACCCTGTCGGGACCTCACGGTGAGGGGTCCCTCAGCCCGTCCTTCACGTGTTCTGTGAGCACGCGTTTCGGTTTCTGGCTTCTGAAACGAGGGCACGGCTCCACCTGGCAGAAACGTGAGGGGCAATAGCAATGGTTGGCGAGCCCTCTGGAAGCGCAGGGGGTTGTCCTTGAGAAACACATGCTCTGCTCCTCCGTCTCCTCGGCCAGGAACCTGCCGCCGGATCCCACGTCCACGAGAACTGGCGCTGCTTCCCGCCCGCCAGCACCCGCTCGGGAGGCCATGGCGACAAGGCCCATCGTGAACGGCACAAAACGGAGCTTTGCTTAGAGAGCCCGGCAGCGTGCGACGCCTGCCCATCGGTCCCCTTGAACGGGGTGTGGAGCGGGCGCCATCTCGGAGGCCTCGGGCAGCGCGAGGGCCCACAGCGTCCAGTGGACCCGCTGCTCCAGAGGCCCGTGGTCCGCGGCGAGTCCTCACGCTCGCTGTGCCAGCCGTCCAGTTTCCAAGCCTCGGGTCACTTCGAGCACGAAACCCAAATGAGGAATGAGGAAGGTGGTGTATTTTTAATCCGCACCCGAGGATATTGTCCCCACTGAACTTTTTATTTTTTAGAGAGTGGAAGGGAGGAAGAGGAGGGGGAGAGAGAAACCTCGATGTGAGACAGGCGTCTGCATTGGCTGCCTCTTGCTTGTGCCCACCGGGTCTGGGAATTGAACCTGCAACTGAGGTATATGCTCTTGACTGGGAATAGAGCCTGTGACCCTTCAGTCTGAGGGCAACACTAACCACTGGGAAACCGGCCAGGGCAAAAGGTGCTTGTTTTTAAAGAGTTTTGGTTTATACAGCTCACTCTCACTCTTGAGACTTGGCTAGAGCTGTTCATTCTGCCCGCTGGCCGTGCACGCGCCATATTTCTTGGTACCCGACACCTTTTAAGAGCAACTACTTTGTATTTTTCACAGCATTTTTAAAGGCTTCATACTGATTACAGCTTGAAGTAGAACAGAGGGTTCCAGTTCCAGATAAACAGGGAGGACGGGCCACCCTGCCTCAGCCCAGGGCGTAGTGGACTGCGGACCCGGAAAGCAGGTCACTGAGGGTCAGAATTCCAATGACTGCTGAATGAGCTAATTTTTTTTTTTTGAGAGAAACATCGATGTGAAGGAGAAATTTCGATCGGCTGCCTCCCATCTGTGCCGTGACCAGGAAGCCGAACCCACTGCCTTTAGCCGTGCAGGACGATGCCCCAACCAACTGAGCCGCCCGCCAGAGACACTTTCCGGGTCTACTCTGGCCTCTCCAGTTTAGACTCAAGGCCACCCACCAGCGGGGACGTGGCTGGAGAGAGCGCCAAGAAGTCCTCTGAGTCTAGAGAGGAGACTCCCGTGCTCAGGGATGAGGGATGAGGGAAATCACTTGTTTTTCTTTTCTTCAGTCTCTCAGGTCCCAGGAAATTCCAAGGTGAGGAAGGCTTGGCAGCAACAATGGAAGCCACGGATCAGCAGGGCCTGCAGACAGCATCCTGGGCAGCAGAACTTGCCCCGGCAGGAGGAGCTGTGGTCCCACCCTCCTGTCTCATCTCTCTCAGTCCTCTGGGCGTTTGACCCCAGACATGAGGGCAGCCACGGGAAGTGCAGGGCAGAACAGGTAACTACAGCCCAGGTTTCTGGCCAAAGGGATGAAAATGGGGAGTCCGGGGAATTGGAAATCACTGGGGAGACCACAGATGTGGGCGGACCTCAGGAGTGACTCCTTAAAAATTGCCGCTGAGTGCTGGCTGGCCTGGGGGCTGCACAGGTTGGTTCTGATCCTGAACAGTGACAGTGTAGAGAGAAAATCATAGCAGATGGAGGAAACCTGACGACGTCCTCAGCCCAGTAGCCTGAAGTGTAATCATGGATCTCTCCACCCAACGGCAGAATACAGGTCCCTTCCAAGTGCTCGTGAAGCAAACCTCAAAGGAATTCCTCGAACTAAGAGAGTTTAGCAAAGATGCAGGATATGAGATCAATACACAGAATTAACATATGCCAGTGAGCAACTGGAAACTGAAAACACGCCACTAGACCCGGCGGTGTGGCCCAGTGGTTGAGCGTGGCGCTGTGAACCACGAAGTCACGGTTCAGTTCCCAGCAGGGCACAGGCCTGGGTGGCAGGCTCAATCCCCAGGGTGGGGCGTGCAGGAGGCAGCAGGTCAATGATCCTCTCTCATCATTGATGTTCCTATCTCTCTCTCCCTCTCCCTTTCTCTCTGAAATCAATAAATATATACGTATGTATATAAAACCCACTACCATGTACAATAACTCCTCAAGTGAAATACTTAGCTATAAATCTAACAAAACATGTATAAAATATCCTAAAAACTAGGGATTGAGAGGCAAGCTGATTCTCAACAAATGGTCTCAACAAATAGTGTTGTGACAACCGGATACCAATATGCAAAAAATAAAAATAAAAGAATCTGACATAAACTCTCACCTTACACAAAAATTAACTCAAAATGAATCTAATATAAAATGTAAAACTTTTAGGAGAACACAGGAAAAATTTTTTTGTGGTTTGGGGGTTAGAGTTCTTAGAAATGACAGTAAAAGCACATTCATGAAAACAATTTAATAAATTGGGCTTCATCAAAATGAAATCTTTGCAAATGACACTGTTAAGGGAATGAAAGACAAGATACAAGCAAACAAAAAATATTTGCCAATAACATATGACAAAGGACTTGTCTCCAGAATCTGTAAAGAACTCTCAAAACTCAACAATATGAAAGCAAAACCCAATGAAATGGTGGGCAAAGCACTTCAACAGACACTTCGTCCAAGAGGACACACAGATGTCAAACAGCATGAAGAGATGTGCATCACAGTCACCAGGGAAACACCAATTAAAACCATGTAGAGACACCACTTCGCCCTGTGAGAAGGGCCAAGATAAAAATAGGGGCGTCAGGTGGTAGGATGGCGAGCAGCTGGAATTCACAGGTTGACCCTGGGAATGCGACATGGACAGGTATTATTCCAGAAAACAGTGGGGGGCTCCTCACAAGTTAAACGTATACGCACCCTATGACCCAGCCATCTAGGTATGTCGCCTAGAGCAGTGGTCGGCAAACTGCGGCTTGAGAGCCACATGCGGCTCTTTGTTCCCTTGAGTGTGGCTCTGCCACAAAATACCACCTGCGGGCGCGCACGTACAGTGCGATTGAAACTTCGTGGCCCATGCGCAGAAGTTGGTTTTAGACCTGGGCGCGTCTACTTTGAAGAAGTACTGTTGATATTTGGCTCTGCTGACTAATGAGTTTGCCGACCACTGGCCTAGAGAAATGCAAAAACCTCTGCACCTGTACACAGTTCTGTTTGTAATTGCCAATAAGTAGAAACAACCTGATCGTCCTTCCGTGAGGGGAAGGGTAAAAACACCTGTCAAACATCCAGACAATGGAATACTGTGCAGCAATAAGAAAGAACAAACTCCTGACACAGTCAATAACTTGGATGAACCCAGAAGTTATACAGAGGGGAAGCAGCAATTGGAAACTAAAATTAAATAGATTATATGTTATCTGTGACTCCATTTGTATGACAGCCTTGGAAAGAGCAGCTGTCATCACTGCCTGGGGTGAGGAGGGAGAGTTGAACCACAAAGGCACAGCGTGAGGGGACTGTGGACTTGCTCTGTGTGCTGATGGTGGTGGTGGCACCTACCACCTACCGTGGAGCTGTAGGTGTGATCAATCCACAGAGCCGTGCACACACAAAGCCTCCCTTTTACCATATGTCCCACACTTGGTACATCTTCTTAGGCCTCAGTCTGCTGTGAAGCCCACTGTGGGTGAGCTTCCCTATCTGAAGTCCCTGAGGCCATTGGTTTGGGGGAGTTAGCACCTTTCTCTCAAAATGCACTCCCTGTCTTTCTTCTCTGTGCTAAGTGAACACTGGCACTGACTTCTGGCTTCCGCACGGAGTCTAGCTTGTTTCAAATGCATCATCTAAATATATAATTAGATATGAAAAGCCCCATTGGGATGGCTAAGTCATATCCAACCAGATGCAAGGTAAGGGTTCAGAAGGGAAGATGAATTTTAGAGGCTGACAAAAACAGGTTTGCAAAGAGTAGATGCACTTCACTTCCAAGAAGTGGGAGGTGAGTCCCATCCCCGCACTCAAGTGCGCGCCCTTTACCTTTGAGAGGAATCTGCCGAGGCCTGGATGGTGTGAAGGAGGGTGGGAAGCTCAGCGCAGCTCTGGGCTTCCGGAGGCCTGGCCTGGTCCCGGGACCGCAGGGTCTCGCCCTTTATATGCTGGGCAGGAGGAGTTGCAGAAATGCCTCCGTGAGAATCACCGAGGTCTCATTCCAGGGACATGGGGCCTCCTACCTGGTGAAAAATAGCCCCAGGCCCTGCTCTCCTCCCGCCCAGGGGCAGGAGAGTGTGGCTCTGGCAGGACCTGCAGGGACCATGACTTGGCTGGAACCAGCTATTGTTCAGAACACACTCGGGATTATCTGTGAGCACGAACCTGCTGGGCCCCCGGCAAAGCCGCCCTCCACCCTGGGGGTAAAGGAGCCGCAGATGGTGTGACAAGTCACACTTTGGAGTCACTTTACAGGATGACTCAGAGGCCTGCTGTCCTTTGGAACCGCTAATCCCGCATGGAGGGTGGTGAAGGTACTTCACAGTCTGCTCAGCTTCCCCCCCACACCCCCACCCCCGCCCCAGCAGGATCTGGCCGTGGTGCCGTCTCCCAGGGAACAGTCACCAAACCAAGGACTTCTCAGCTGAAAGCGACACCCATTCTCTGTTCTTGGGTAACATCTGGAATGGCCCTTTGAGACAGCCAGACTGTCTTCCCTGCTGGGCCTGGCTCCTAAGTGTGGATGCTCAGACCTCCACAACGGACACCTGGGGCAGGAAGCAGGTGGAATAGCTGCTTTTGAACCTATGGGGTATTTACTAAGCCTTTCCCCTCCTAATGTGAATGTCTAATGCAGCAGCAGAGCCAGATCGTGCAGTTGAGGGTTTTTAAAAATACCATTAATTTTATTTATTGATTGATTTTAGAGAGCGAGGAAGGAGCAGGAGGGAGAGAGAGGGATTGATTTGTTGTTCCACTTATTTATTAGTTCATTGGTTATTTCTTGTGTGTGCCCTGACTGGGGATCGAACCTGCAACCTTGGCATATTGGAACGATGCTCTAATGAAGTACTCAGCCAGGGCCTGAGGGCTTTTTCATAGGGGAGAAGAGGAGTAGATTTGGGGCCACCCCTCAGGGAGAGAGAGAGAGAGGAGAG